GAATTATTCTTCAGCTTCACAACGATGCAGGCTGTATCTGAAGCTGACCCACAGCTGGTACACGTTTTTCATCCTTTTTCTTTTGAAATGTTGAAAAACACAAATACTGGATGTAGAAAATCTTTGAATAAACCAACCTGACTGACAACGTGAACATTTATGTCATTAGTGTCTGTCATTAGTGAGTCTACATGATAATTTCTGAATTTATATGCAGTCTAACTAGTCAACAATCCAATAAAGTTCACATTTACATGTTTAATATCAGTAAATAATATATTTGACAACAGATAAAATTGATTTTAAATAAGGTTAAACATGAACATTGAAGCTGTTTAATGTTAGCAGACAGGTTTTACAATTAAAATAATTATTTTTGGTTAAATATGCGTAATATTTACGTGTGAAACAAACCCTTTTATCTCTTGTAAACATGTTGTAACAATTTCTACAGTTTATAGCAAAGTATTTGTACCATTTATACGTTTATAAAGTGTTTGTTTGCACCRCGCYACGTTCTGCTCATTGATTTCAATAGTTAGCATTAGCATTAGCTCAATGCATAAAAATCCCCCATGTGAAGCCACGCCCAGGTCACATGACGCCCAATCCAGTCATATACTGTACATCGATGGTCATAATGTTCTCCAGGTGCACTGCTGTARCACTACAACCTGTTCTCCTGCAGAACAGGAGCCAGTGTTTGGAGAAAATAACAGTAAGGACAGATATCCTCCAAGTTAAAGAAAGGAACATTACTGCACTGATCTCTAATTATGATGAACAATAAAAAGATTAAGCACGTGTCTGCTCAGATAAACACTGAACCTGTTCAGGGTTAATCTGCTCAGTTTCTTCCTCCAACCTTGCTCCAGCCGCAGTGATCCTCAACTCCGTCGACAGACAAGGCGATCATCTTCACGTTCCGTTTCTGGAACTCGTCTGCGAGCTTAGCGGCACACGCTAGCTCCGTGGTGCAGACAGGAGTGTAGTCCCTGGGGTGGGAGAACAGGATGCCCCATCTGCAGAGGGAAAACAAATATATATATATTATTGTTGCATCATTTGTGCGAGGCTTGCTCCGACAAGCTGCATACAAACATGGGAATCCCTGCAGACGTGCAGAGGAGGGTGTGTCTGATAGTTTCTGTAATAAATCAGAGAGAAATAAAAACTGCTCGTCTGTTTTTGTCTTCATGTGATTGATCACACGAGCCAGAAGCCACAGAAAAGCAGCTCGCCTCAGGCAGCATGACGATCACCTGATCAGGAGTGTGGGAAAGGTCAGAGGCCTACTAAAATCTGCACAACAGCTGTTTTAATCTTGGAAACATTTGTTCTTTGGATTAGGCTGCCTCTGAAAAGCTACGGTTCCCACAGAGAAACAGGTTTATTGTGCACTCATACCTGGGTTATGTCTTTTTATGTATTTTAATCTAAATAGTTGTAATGATGTTTATCTACTATAAAAAGGTGTTTAAATTAAACAGAAGCCCCAAAGAGTGCACTAATGGGGGAAAAAAAATCCAGATTTATCCCAAATTATAGCTTTATAAATGGCAAATTTGAATTAATCGATTAAATGTGTTTATCACCCAACCTTATCCACTATTGGAATGGAGATGTTAGAAACAGGTTTCATCTACTCTGAAACAATTTTCATTATTTGAAACAGAATTTAAGTTATTGTAAAGATGTGCCACAGTGCTGCTCATCTTGAAGGGTTTCTGAAAGGAAAAAGGCTTTATATGGAAAACAGCGTGTTAGTTTAAAAGCACCATAATTAATGTACTTTATATGTTTCTACCTGCTTAAATGAGTGCAGAACATTACCTGCAGCCGGCTCGTTCTCAGGCTTTACATGATAGTTTGAGGAAAATCTGAGCTATAGCACTTAAAGATATCTGTGGTGTGTAAATGTCTGCAACTTTAACATGTGTTCAATTAACAAAAGACTTCAGTTTAATAAGAATAGCCCACTTAATCAAATGTTTACCTACCTACCTACACACAGTGGGGAGACCAAGTATTTGATACACTGTTGATTTTTCAGGTTTTCCCACTTGCAAAGCTTGTAGA